TGTCAATATTAGATGAGTCATCTTTTCTTGCTTGTTTTGTAAGGTGTCTCTTTTTGATGATGGAGATAGGAGTAGGATGCTCAACATGTTTCATGTCTTCTTTGGACCTTGAGGTGATGCGTTTTGTTTCTTTCATTTCCAGTTGATTTGTATCAACATGAGTAGGATTGGTGGCTGACTCACTAGGAATCTCACAAGTAACATTCTTCATTTTGACCTGAACTGAACTAACTTCAGGGACAGGCTTAACAAATAAACCACCCAATTGTTGGACTAATGTTGAACTATCTTTCCTTCGACAAGGTCTTATTGGTGCAGCATGTTTTCCTTGACCACACTCTCTTGGCTCAGCTTGAATATTTCCTGTAATCTTCCTTTCTTGCTGAGACCCAGCAGTGTCAGCTTGTGGTTCCATCATACAACTGTCTTGATCTGAAGATCTGTACAAAAGTACATTCAGTGGTGCCCCTATATGTTTGACGGTATCTGGAAGTGATTCTTTTGATGTAGGCTGAAGGGAAGTAGCAGATAGTTCTTTCAACCTCGTTTGTTCTGGGCTTAAGGAAAAGAGAAAACACACTTCAGAATCAGCTGTTATGCCATACATGTGTAGCATGCATCCGTTGTGCAATTAGAGACACAAAAAAATTGATGAAATGCAAGTTTTGTTAATACAACACAGCTTTTATTTGGCTGGTTCATAGGCACACAACTACTTAAAACACAGTATTAGACAAAGTAGAGAAAGACCCTTATTTATAACAACCCCCCCACCCCCCCCAACAAAAAAAACAAACAAACATCCAAAACGACTGTACTTCTATTTTGTAGTTGAAGACGTTTTGCTTCGCTTAAAGTTGTTCTGTCTCTTTTGACATAAATTGCTTCCTCCACGCTTTCCTTCAAACCATCTGTCTTCTCTGTCCAAAATATGAACCTTTGGTCCTCGGCAGAGTGTCCCTTGTCCTTGAGGTGAAGGTGCACAGCTGAGTCTTGTCCTGAAGAGTTGGATCTCCTGTGTGGAGCCATGTGTCTGTGAAGAGGCTGTTCAGTTTCTTTAATATAGACATCTGAACAATCTTCTATGTACTGAACTGCAGACACATAGCTCAGTTTGAGTTTAGGATTTTGTCTTTAGGAAGGATCAGGGTCTGTCTGAGAGTTCTGTTTTAATCTGCATCTGAATCTAGGTTACATAGGACCTCTGATGAAGGTTAAAACAACTTGAAAGTCCACATTCTCCAGACATTTGTTGAATTGAGAAAGCCTCCTGGATGGGAAGCAAAACACCTTAAGCTGCTGAACAGAAGTGCAGTTGTTTTGTTTTGTACCATTTTTATAGATATACCATATCCTGGATGACTGAGAAGTTAACACCACCTAGTTTATAGCACTTTTGACCAACAATCTTTTCTAAATAGTTTAAAAAGCACCAGAAAACAGATATTTAAACCTAAAATAAATTAAATGAAAAGCACACACCATGCAGCCAGAAAGTCTACCAACACTCACCCTTGCTCTGGTTGTGAAGAAGACAATGTTTTTTTAACATGATCCTGTTCTATAGCAGCTCTGTGTCTTGCTAGCAAATCTTCCAGGCACACTGATGCATATACAAAGTCCTGCCCTGTCAAAAATGTCTCCGCTCTATTCTGTTGTCCAGAAGTCTCTTGTTGCTTTGCATGTTTGCCATCGTTTGATATTTCACAGATATCTGTCTCTGGCAATGGCACTTGTTTCTTTGTATTTGAAAGTAAAAGCTTGTCAACACTGTCAGCAGTGGATGATGGACAGGCTGACTGATCATCCACTAATTTCCACATGTAGGACTCAACACTCGTTTGATATTCAGTATCGTGTTTCTCCTCTATCATCAGTGGAGGAGTACTACTGTAGGTAAAATGTGACATTAGCACATTTACAGGACTTGTTCTGCCTTTCTGATGCACAGAAGATGAAGTGAGTTGATGATCAACTTCACCTAAAGCAGAACTAGATGGCCCCAGAACAGATGCTACAGTTTCGTAACTGTAAAAAATAAATGGGTAGTGAGTAATTGACATGTAGATAATTACCAAAATGAGAAAATATTAAGTTTTTATGCAATTGTAGTCCAGAGTTTACTTTCTCAAAGCTTACTTTGCGCATGCAAAACTAGGATGAAAATTTAATATTAGCGTAAATGTAGGAATACCAGTAATATGTACACTCAGTGTTGTATGGTATTTTTATATACTTTCAGACCAGTTTTTAACTCACCCTTTGTGAAAAACATCAACAATAGCCTTTACTAATCCAGACGTTTCTTCTGTCTTTGCTGACAGAAAATGTTCTGCTTGTTTCTCTGATACTGTTTCCTCTGCTTCCAGTAATTCCCATCCACAGACTCCCATCAGCTCTGATGTGTCCAATGATTTATCCACTGTCTGGGCTTCCTCTGCCTCTATTTTCTCTATTTGTGATTTCCTGAAGAGTCAAATGTAAACACTTTTAAGCTGTGATTCAAAAAGCTTATGTGGCATAATTTTTTTTTTTATGAAATATGGCCCTGCCCTAACAGAACCCTTCACATCAGATAAAAACTGCACTCAAACATAACACATTTGACAGAATGTTAATGGACTTTCTGCAGTTCTGAGGCGCACAATTAAAACAAAAAGAATACCCTATTACATGTAATGAAAAGATCCAATATAGTCTTGAACATACACAAAGTCATGGTGTCTTGTTGTCTTGGTGGCTGCGTACAAAGGTCCAAGGTTGAGTATGGGAGACCAAGGTGGCAGTAAATGCATGACTTGTGGCAAACATGACTAAGTTGTTGAGAATTTGACATTTACGATTTAAGAATGTATTTTCAAAATGTAACTGAGAACAAAAGTTATTGTGAAGTTTCATAAGAATCTTTAAACATGCTGGAAAAGAGTTGATAGTAAATTCAATAAATGAGGCAAATTTACAATCCTAGATTATTTAAATCAGGCCCAGCAACTGCAGAAACATCAACAACAAGCAGAATGCTGATGGCCCCCAGCGGGGGTGACCGATTGTTGGCCTTGGTCACTATAGATTATTCTTAGGCCACCACCCATGTCACCCCAATCATGTGAGAAAACTATAGTTTTAAGCAATATAAAAACTATAAAGCATAGTTCCTCAAATAACAGGGGTGGTCAGTTCACATATTAATATGGAGACAACAATCCTGGATTTTGATGTGGCAATATAAATTTTCATAGGGCCTTTGTGAACATATTTGCAGCAACATACCAAAATGGAGGTCAGCACATTGATTATTTTTCATGTTATCTAGCTCACAAGGTATACGTATATACATATATGGTGTCAGCCATCTTGGATTGTGACGTGGCAACCCAGTTTTCGAATGGAACCTTTCTTATGCCTAGATGTATTCACACCAAAATGGAAGTCAGTACCTCACATATCTTTCAAGTTATCAAGCTCACAACATGCACAGAGGGATAAACAGATGGACGGGTGGGTGGAAGGAAGGCATTTCCAATACCCCTTCTTTGCTCTACACCGGGGGACAAAAAAAAAAGGGGGATTGATAAATGGTTACTGCCACGCTGGCCTAATGCCTGAGCTAAAATCTCTTCACATAGTGAGCATCGTGCTAGAGTGGCATGATGTTCTTGCACATAGCTTTATCAGTGTCATCTGAGAGAGTCATGCCAGGACAGGAGCTTGGGCATGGTGCGACTGTAGGCTTTTGTGGTAGTATCTTTGTGAAAATGTGTTGCTGATATATAGAGCATGGTAAGGGCACAGAAGTGTCCTAGAGGTGGAGAAATTAGCAGGAAAAAACTGGCGAGGACTAAAAAATACAGCAGCATCATGGACGTTAATTTATTTACCACAATCCCAACTCATTCTAAAAGGGTCAGGTGGGCTGCAGTGAACG